TGGGCTAGTGATCATGTGGTTCTGTGCTTCGACTACATAGTTGAGCTCCAAGGGGAGAGAGTAGCAGGAATAGGCTGGGAAAAACCAAACTACAAAAGGGGGAACTACTCAGGCATGAGGAACTTCCTTCAAGACATTCAGTGGGAGGGGGAACTGACAGGAAAACCAGTACAAGAAAATGATGGACTATGTAGCAACAAAATGCAAGGAGGCAGAGGAGAGGTTTGTTCCCAAGGGAAACAGAAATAATGGGAAGAACAGAACGAGTCCTTGGTTCACCCAAAGGTGTAGGGAGGCAAAAACTAGGTGTACTAGAGAATGGAAAAGGTACAGAAGACAGAGAACTCAGGAAAATAAAGAAATCACCGAAGAGCCAGAAACGAATATGCACAGATAAGAAGGGAGGCTCAGAGACAATATGAAAATGACATAGCATCAAAAGTAAAGACTGACCCGAAGCTGTTGTACAGCCACATCAGGAGGAAAACAACAGTCAAGGACCAGGTAATCAGACTGAGGAAGGGTGATGGGAATTCACAAGAAACGACCGAGAGTATGTCAGGAGCTCAACACAAGATTTAAAGAGGTATTACAGTGGAAACCAGTAGGACTCCAAGAAATCAGAACAGGGGGCACACCAGCAAGTGTTGGATGAGGTACATATAACCAAGGAGGAGGTGAAGAAGCTGCTAATGCGAACTTGACACCTCAAAGGCGGTGGACCAGACAACATCTCTCCATGGGTCCTTAAAGAGGGAGCAGAGATATTGTGTGAGCCATTAACAAAGATCTTCAACACATCATTTGAAACTGGGCAACTCCCTGATGTATGGAAAATGCAAATGTAGTCCCCAAATTTTTAAAAAGGGAGACAGACATGAGGCACTAAACTACAGACCTGTATCTCTAACGTGTATAGTATGCAAGGTTCATGGAGAAGATCATCAGGAGGAGAGTGGTGGGGCACCTGGAAAGAAACAAGTGTATAATTGACAACCAGCACGGTTTCAGGGGAAGGAAAATCCTGTGTCACAAACCTACTAGAGTTTTATGACAAGGTGACAGAAGTAAGACAAGAGAGAGAGGGGTGGATCGACTGCGTATTTTTGGACTGCAAGAAGGCTTTCGACACAGTTCCTCACAAGAGGTTACTGCAAAAGCTAGAGGACCAGGCACACATAACAGGAAAGGCACTGCAATGGATCAGAGAATATCTGACAGGGAGGAAACAACGAGTCATGGTACGCGACGAGGTGTCAGAGTGGGCGCCTGTGACAAGCGGGTTTCCACAGGGATCAGTCCTAGGACCTGTGCTGTTCTTGGTATACGTGAACGACATAACGGAAGGGATAGACTCAGAAGTGTCCTTGTTTGCAGACGATGTGAAGTTAATGAGAAGAATCGAATCGGACGAGGATCAGGCAGGACTACAAAGAGATCTGGACAGGCTACAAGCCTGGTCCAGCAACTGGCTCCTTGAATTTAAACCCTGCCAAAAATGCAAAGTCATGAAGATTGGGGAAGGGCAAAGAAGACCGCAGACACAATATAGTTTAGATGGCCAAAGACTGCAAACCTCACTAAAGGAAAAAGATCTGGGGGTGAGTATAACACCGAGCATATCTCCTGAGGCGCACATCAATCAGATAACTGCTGCAGCATACGGGCGCCTGGCAAACCTACGGATAGCGTTCCGATACCTCAGTAAGGATTCGTTTAAGACTCTGTACACCATCTACGTCAGGCCCATACTGGAGTATGCAGCAACCAGTTTGGATCCACACCTAGTCAAGCACGTCAAGAAATTAGAGAAAGTGCAAAGGTTTTGCAACAAGACTAGTCCCAGAGCTACGGGGATTGTCCTATGAAGAAAGGTTGAGGGAAATCGGCCTGACGACACTGGAGGCCAGGAGGGTCAGGGGAGACATGATAACGACATATAAAATACTGCGCGGAATAGACGAGGTGGACAAAGACGGGATGTTCCAGAGATGGGACACAGACACAAGAGGTCACAATTGGAAGTTGAAGACTCAGATGAATCAAAGGATGTTAGGAAGTATTTCTTCAGTCATAGAGTAGTCAGGCCATGGAATAGCCTAGAAAGTGATGTGGTGGAGGCAGGAACCATACATAGTTTTAAGGCGAGGTATGATAGAGCTCATGGGGCAGGGAGAGAGACGACCTAGTAGCAATCAGCGAAGAGGCGGGGCCAGGAGCTGTGAATCGACCCCTGCAACCACAAATAGGTGAGTACAAATAGGTGAGTACACACACACACACACACAACACACACACACACATACACAAACTCATACACACACACGCACACACACTCATACACACACACACACACACTCATACACACACACACACACACACACACACACACACACACACACACACACACACACACTCATACACATACACACAAACACACACACAAACACACACACACACACACACACACACACACACACACACACACACACAACACACACACACACACACAGGAGCTTGACTCGACCCCTGCAATCTCAACTAGGTGAGTGCACACACATACACACACACACACACACAAACACACACACAAACACACATACACACAAACACACACACACACACACACACACACACACACACACACACACACACACATGCACACATGTGGTAATGTTTTATTTACAGCTAGCAAAGTCAGAGTATTTCTCCAGAATGGTCTGTAATATACCACTGTGGATAAAATACTTAGCCATTTCTTGAACACTTCTGAGTGAGTTGTTTCTAAATTCATTAATTTTATCGCACTCCAGTACATAATGACGCAGGGTGTGACAATAGTCCATCTGGCAAAGTTTACATTTCGTTTGGTCTACAATCTGGTGGTGGTGATTTAACCTGCCAAAGATACTTGTAACCAAGCCGAAGCCGGGCGGTAGTGACATCCAAGAGTCTGCTTATTTTGTTGGATGCACCATAGACATGTGGCTCCTCCTGCATGATAGAATGATGATAGATGGACTCACTGGTGTCAATCTCCCTGAGCCTTAAGTCCATAAAATTCAGTTGAAGTTCTTTTCTTATTATTGTTCTCAAACTACTACCTGACAAACCAAGATTGTAATCTACTCCCTCTTTGAAAGCATACAGCTTAGCCAATTTATCAGTTCTATCATGCATCTGAAGACCAATGTGAGATGGAATCCACAGCATGTGCACTCTGACTCCACTGTCCACAATCCTACCATACCTGTGTCTGGCTTCTGACACAAGCATGCCACAATTTATGCTTAATGAGTTGAGAGCATTTATGGATGACAGAGAATCAGTTACAATTAAACTGTCTATCTTTGATACATAGATGCATTTCAGTGCAAGGAGTATGGCAAACAGTTCTGTCTGAAGGGTAGAGGCCCAATTATTGATGCGTGCTCCAATTTCTTTAAGAGAGCCATCACTCTGTACGACAACAGCAGCACTACCAGCTGCACCAGTGGATTGGTGAACAGAACCATCAGCGTAAATAATTTGCGAGAGTGTGTGCTGTGTGACTAAGTTATCAATACAGCTTAAGGCCTCATGTTTGGCTTCAAGGCGAAGTTTTGGTTGTGATTTAAGAAGTAGTTTGGGGGGAAATGGAGGAATGGTAGTTTGGAATGAGGTAATATTCCATGGAGCGGAGAAGTGCCGCTGTTGCCTTACTTGACATAGATCATGTATCTGATTCATGCGGAGGTCGGTTCCAGTTTTTTCGATCCATCTGGAGGAGTGTTCACCAGTGCTGAGGAAAGTTTGGAGGGCTTCTGTACAGGGGTTTGAATGAGCTTGCCTGAATAACAGGATGGCTATGATGTGCATAATAATAATATCTAACTGATGGATCCACGTCCGAGAGCAGCACTTTGAAGTCTGGATATTTGATAAGAGGAACGAGCATTCCAGAACAGGAGGAATAAGAGTAGTTTACCTAGAGAGAATTCCGGGGGTCAATGCCCCCGCGGCCCGGTCTGTGACCAAGCCTCGTGGTGGATCAGGGCCTGATCAACCAGGCTGTTACTGCTGTCTGCACGCAATCCGACGTATGAACCACAGCCCGGCTGGTCAGGTACCGACTTTAGGTGCCTGTCCAGTGCCTGCTTGAAGACAGCCAGGGGTCTATTGGTAATCCCCCTTATGTATGCTGGGAGGCAGTTGAACAATCTTGGGCCCCTTACACTTATTGTGTTGTCTCTTAACGTGCTAGTGGCACCCCTGCTTTTCATTGGGGGGATGTTGCATTGTCTGCCGAGTCTTTTGCTTTCGTAGGGAGTGATTTTCGTGTGCAAGTTTCGTACTAGTCCATCTAGGATTTTCCAGGTGTATATAATCATGTATCTCTCCCGCCTGCGTTTCAGGGAATACAGGTTCAGGAACTTCAGTCGTTCCCAGTAATTGAGGTGTTTTATCTCCGTTATGTGCGCCGTGAAGGTTCTTCAACAGGTCAGCAATTTCATCTGCTGTGAAAGGTGCTGTTAGTGTGCAGCAATATTCCAGCCTAGATAGAACAAGCGACTTGAAGAGTATCATCATAGGCTTTTCCGTGAGTTAAACCTGAATACCTTCCATCCCTCCCCCAAGCACTGTATAATCCTATGGGTTTAGTGCTTCCCCCTTGATTATAATAATAATAATCATCATAGGCTTGGCATCCCTAGTTTTGAAGGTTCTCATTATGTATCCTCTCATTTTTCTAGCAGATGCGACTGATACAATGTTATGGTCTTTGAAAGAGAGATCCTCTGACATAATTATTGTCAGCTAGTTCTGTACTTATAGAAATGATTATTATTATTATTATTATTATTATTATTATTATTATTATTATTATTATTATTATTATTATTATTATTATTATTATTATTAATATTAATATTAATATTAATATTATTATTATTATTATTATCATCATCGTCATTATTATACCTGAAGAATAATACTAAAAGCATGACGTTCGTGCAGGTGAGGGATCCAGCAATCCGAGGGTCCCGCCATTCTTAACTTGAATTTGTAAACAAACTAGAGTGTTAGGTTGGTGCGCACGTCGAGATGCCTTGTGAGATAATTACTCTGCAGCTGGGCCAGTGTGGCAACCAGAGTAAGTTATACAAGAGTTCTCTTCTCGAGGGAGGCACTTTAATGCTGGTGAGGGGCTCCTGATCCAAGAGATTGAATTGATTCTTTCCCCTTAGATGAAACCTGATTACTTGCCATTCCTCAGGCGTAGTCTTGGCTCTACGGGTTTGGCGGTTCCCCATGATTATAATAATGATAATCATGATTAATTATTGATAAGACTACTGGTAAATGGACACGTGTACAATTAATAAGATATATTGGCTTAAAGTACCCAGTGATCGAAACGTAGCCACAGTAAATGTTTTATTTTGCACGTGTGTTATTTACTAACAATAATAATAGTAATAATAATAATAATAATAATAATAATAATTGGTAATATTTACTGACTACAGTATGGCAGAACTCAGACATTAGTGTACATTTACAATAGATTCAATCCACGCACACCAAAGAATAAATCTTGTATAAATTGTTATTTTCAGGGATGTTACCAAGAAGAGTACAGTAAATTATTTTTAATTGTGCAGTACCTCAAGGCCAATCAGCGCTTAGTATTGAGTCGTATTGGGTACCAGGATGAATACAAATATAGACACCAGTACCACTGGTGGAGTAAGGTTAAGTTAGATTATATTAGGTTGAGTTAGGTGGGTTTCCTTAGATCCCTTTACATTTTTCTTTACCATTTACATAATAAAATAAAGGAAATTTAATACACAATTCAAACTATAATTATTGACTGAAATCCACCGTGGAGCAGTCATATATACTACCTGGAGTATACCTGTTACCTAATAATGATACAGACTGGATCTTGGTGCATATACTTGAAATAATAGATTATTATATTCATGGGAAGCATTAAACCCTTAAGGTTCATACAGCACTTGGAAAATGGTAGATAAGATTTTGTTTAGATTATTAGCCTGGAGGGTTACTAACTAAGGGTAACCAAATAACTCCACTATCATCAGATTGCCTGACTTATTTCCATTGAGGTCCTTTAATCCTCTCCAAGAAGAGACCCACATCAATTGGCTAACACCCAGGCACTCTGCTTACTGCTAAGTGAACAGAGGCAATAGGTGTAAGGATACATGGCAGCATTTCCACTTCTTTGGTAATCAAACCTGGTCCCATAGTATGTGAGCTGAAGCTGCTACCAGTTGAGCAATGGGTTATTATTGCATTCATGGGGAAACACAAAATATGTAAAAGTCATACAACACCTAAAGAATTTGAGTTAATCAAATTTAATCAGGGGAAGAAGGGGGGCAGGAGTAGCTCCAGTTCCTTGAATCAAGAGCCCTTCAACAGGCTTGGAATATTGAAATTTTGAAAATGGATATACGTATTAGCTTTTTTCCTGTATGGTATTGCCTAGCATCACATATATTGAATGACTTAAGTTTCACTCTTGATACAGGGACTTGGAGTGACCCTTCCCTGGAATCTGACCTGATTACCTCCTATTTCCTATTTCCCATATAGCACCTATGACTTTAGCTCTTCCCCATGAATACTACTGGTATAATAATAATCATGAGTATTACTTATTCTACGTATGTAACTTGTTGTACACTCAGATTATAAAAATGCATTGAATAGCAATGCAAATCGAAAGTATTTTCCATCCATTTATTCCCTCAAGGAAGGTGCCTTAATGCTGGTGAGGAGCTCTTGATCTAAGGAATTGTACTTATCCCTCCCTTCCTTAGATCGAACCTGAATACTTCCCATTCTTCAGGTACTATATATTACTCATATGGGTTTAGTGCTGCTTTCTGATTAAAATAAATAAATCCATTAGTGCTAATGATTCATCCTTTCATTAAGATTATACACAGATAAATAGCTTGACTATACAGTGATCTCAAAATAAATTACCCTTCAAGGGAGGTACTTTGTTGATGGTGAAAAGCTCTTGGTTCAAGGAGTTGAAGGTACCCTCTTTCGTGAATCAAACCTGATTACCTAAGAGCTGTATGACCTCAATGGGGTCATTTCCCAGTGAATATAATAATAAAAATAAACTAGTTCTAAATATACAGTAGATTGTCATGTACAAAAATATTACAGTACAGTATAAATAAATTTTCTTTAAAAATGGAATATTAAATTATATATGGAACATGTAGAAATATACATGCAAAAGTGACATTTTATGATTTAACCTAGAATATATCTGCATTTACTTGATATAATTTAAAGCCTTATTAGTATGATGCCTCTTGTTACCTTCTCCAAGCATTGTACGTACTTATCAATTTAGTGAAGGCAGTCATTTGGCTGTTGACATCGCCTTGGAGAAGAGCATTTTAATCGGAGGTGGCGAGCTCAGAGCAAAGGGTTAAAGTTTTGTTTGAGTACCATTAGATGTAATGGAAATTAAAATAATGCAATAAAAATCGGAATAGTTTCATGATAAAGTTTAAATGCAGTTTACTGAATAAGTCTTTTTTCACTCCTTTATAAGTGTATATAAATAGCATATTGTTGTGTAAGTGTATATAAATAGCATATTGTTGTGTAAATGTATATAAATAGCATATTGTTGTATACAGATGAGCATGTCATTGTTCTATATCATGTGCTTTAGCAGTATCGCATAAGTTTGTTATGATTGCTGTAATTACCATACCTATTTGTAGCTATAGGAGCAGAACTATGCCTGTGGTGTTCTGCCTTCAGTGTATTTAGCATATCAAATAATTGTTTTAAATTTCCAGTGGCTGTGGCACTCATTACTTCAAGAAACTTGTTCCATTGTTCTAGCAGTGAAGACAAACTTATATAAACTTATATACACGTATAGTGCTGCATTGACTGTGATAGGTTATGGAACTTGCATTTTTATACTATACCACGTGATTATTTTCAGTTGGGTTTGAGTTTTGGAAGAAACTCTGTAGCGAACATGGCATCTCGCCAGAAGGCACGCTGGAAGATTACGCTACAGAAGGCACTGACCGTAAAGATGTTTTCTTTTACCAAGCCGATGATGAACATTACATTCCTCGGTCGGTGCTGCTTGACCTTGAACCTCGGGTTATCCACTCAATCATGAATTCCCCATATGCCAAGGTTAGAACAGCATAAGAAACAAGATTGTGATAAATATTTTTTTTTTTAAACATGTAGGCTGTTTCCCACCAAGGCAAGGTGACCCAAAAAGAAAGAAAACCTCAATAAGAAAGAAAAAACTTTAATCATCATTCAACACTTTCACCATCACTCATACATAATCACTGTCTTTGCAGAGGCACTCAGATACGACAGTTTAGATGTCCCTCCAAACTGCCAATATCCCAAATCCCTCCTTTAAAGTGCAGGCATTGTATTTCCCATTTCCAGGACTCAAATCCCACTTACTGGTTTTCCTGAATTTCTTTCCCAAAATATTACCCTGCTCACACTCCAACAGCTTGTCATGTCCCAAAAACCATTCTTCTCCATACATTTCTATCTAACATGCTCATACACGCTTGCTGAAAGTCAAACCCCTTGCCCACAAAACCTCCTTTAGCCCCTCCCTCCAACCTTTTCGAGGACGACCCCTACCCTGCCTTCCTTCCTCTACAGATTTATATGCTCTCCAAGTCATTCTACTCTGTTCCATTCTCTCTAAATGACCAAACCACCTCAACAACCCCTCTTCAGCCCTCTGACTAATACTTTTAGTAACTCCACACCTCCTAATTTCCATACAACGAATTCTCTGCATAATATTTACACCACACATTGCCTTTAGACACAACATCTCCAGTGCCTTCAGCCTCCTCCTCGCTGCAGCATTTACAACCCATGCTTCACACCCATATAAGAGTGTTGGTACCACTACACTCTTGTACATTCCCTTCTTTGCCTCCATGGATAACGTTTTTTGCTTCCACAGATACCTCGATGCACCACTCACCTTTTTTTCTTCATCAGTTCTGTGGTTAACCTCATCCTTCATAAACCCATCTGCTGACAAGTCAGCTCCCAAATATCTGAAAACATTCACTTCTTCCATACTCCCTCCCTCCAGTGTGATATCCAGTTTTTCTTTATCTAAATCGTTTGATACCCTCATCACCTTACTCTTATCTACATTCACTATGAGCTTTCTACCTTTACACACCTGAATATTTAATTTCATCTAAAATTTTATGGTACTGTATTCTATTAGTATGAGAACATGGGACAGCTATGATGTAAATGTTTTAGTTTTATCATAGGTATGTGACAGTTCATTGTCCTGAAAGAAACTTTCCCCTCAGGCTTTGTCTGTTATCCTTAAATACTGTTTCAGAGGTTGCTTCAAAGCACCTTTTAAACAATTGGAAATTACATGCTGGTCCATGGGTTGGATAGGAGGAGTGGTGTTAGGGGGCAAGAACTTCTACTTAATGAAGCAGTTTTATCCACTAAATTTTCCTCCAAGCCTGGAGGGTGAGCAAGAGCATTGTTCATTACCAGAAGTGACCTTAATGGTAAGGTTTTCTGCTTTAGCATTTATAGTGACTAGTAAAGTCATACTGAGCTCCCAATATTAACTTAGGGAGCTTGAATTATTTTGCCAAAATCCTATAGGCTCACAACAAATGTAACAAATTAGAGGTCATTCCTGTTTAACTTCTAGGATTATTTACTTAAATATCAGGATAGCCATAGCAATTATATGCATTAAAAACCTGCTGTGATTCTTTTATGGAGTTATGAAAGTCTGTAGATACAGTACATGTATGTTTCTTGCACCCTTATGTTGCTGACTTTTGCCAGTTTAAAGGGTCATTAACTGCTTTGTTCATACAACTTACAGACAGATTTTGCTGAAAATTTACTTGCAGTATCAGACTTGTTGTGTTTTGGAGGATTATTTGAATTGTGGTGCCCAAGCACTTCTGGAAAGACAGCTGTTGAATGAGTGATGGTAAATGTGTTTCCTTTTTGTCACTCTTCCTTATCTGGAGTTTACCTGGAGAGAGTTCCGGGGGTCAATGCCCCCGCGGCCCAGTCTGTGACCATGCCTCCTGGTGGATAAGAGCCTGATCAAGCAGGCTGTTACTGCTGGCTGCACGCAATCCAACGTACGAGCCACAGCCCGGCTGGTCAGGAACCGACTTTAGGTGCTTGTCCAGTGTCTGCTTGAAAACAGCCAGGGGTCTATTGGTAATCCCCCTTATGTATGCTGGGAGGCAGTTGAACAGTCTCGGGCCCCTGACACTTATTGTATTGTCTCTTAACGTGCTAGTGACACCCCTGCTTTTCATTGGGGGGATGTTGCATCGTCTGCCAGGTCTTTTGCTTTCGTTGTGAGTGATTTTCGTGTGCAATTTCGGTACTAGTCCCTCTAGGATTTTCCAGGTGTATATAATCATGTATCTCTCCCGCCTGCGTTCCAGGGAGTACAGGTTCAGAAATTTCAAGCACTCCCAGTAATTGAGGTGTTTTATCTCCATTATGCGTGCCGTGAAGGTTCTCTGTACATTTTCTAGGTCAGCAATTTCACCTTCCTTGAAAGGTGCTGTTAGTGTGCAGCAATATTCCAGCCTAGATAGAACAAGCGACCTGATAAGTGTCATCATGGGCTTGGCATCCCTAGTTTTGAAGGTTCTCATTATCCATCCTGTCATTTTTCTAGCAGATGCGACTGATACAATGTTATGGTCCTTGAAGGTGAGATCCTCCAAAATGATCACTCCCAGGTTTTTGACGTTGGTTTTTTGCTCTATTTTGTGGAAGGAATTTGTTTTATACTCTGATGAAGTTTTAATTTCCTCATGTTTACCATATCGGAGTAATTGAAATTTCTCATCGTTGAACTTCGTATTGTTTTCTGCAGCCCACTGAAAGATTTAGTTGATGTCCGCCTGGAGCCTTGCAGTGTCTGCAATGGAAGGCTCTGTCATGCAGATTCGGGTGTCATCTGCAAAGGAAGACATGGTGCTGTGGCTGACATCCTTGTCTATGTCAGATATGAGGATGAGAAACAAGATGGGAGCGAGTACTGTGCCTTGTGGAACAGAGCTTTTCACCGTTGACTACTACTCTTTGTGTTCTGTTTGTGAGGAAATTATAGATCCATCTACCAACTTTTCCTGTTATTCCTTTAGCACGCATTTTGTGTGCTATTACACCATGGTCACACTTGTCGAAGGCTTTTGCAAAGTCTGTATATATTACATCTGCATTCTTTTTGTCTTCTAGTGCATCTAGGACCTTGTCGTACGGATCCAGTAGCTGAGACAGACAGGAGCAACCTGCTCTAAACCTGTGTTGCCCTGGGTTGTGTAATTGATGGGTATCTAGATGGGTGGTGATCTTGCTTCTTAGGACCCTTTCAAAGATTTTTGTGATATGGGATGTTAGTGCTATCGGTCTTTAGTTCTTTGCTATTACTTTACTGCCCCCTTTGTGGAGTGGGGCTATGTCTGTTGTTTTTAGTAACGGTGGGACGACCCCCGTGTCCATGCTCCCTCTCCATAGGATTGTAAAAGCTCGTGATAGGGGCTTCTTGCAGTTCTTGATGAACACGGAGTTCCACGAGTCTAGCCCTGGGGCAGAGTGCATGGTCACGTCATTTATCGCCTGTTCGAAGTCATTTGGCGTCAGGATAATATCAGATAGGGTTGTGTTAACCAAATTCTGTGGCTCTCTCATAAAAAATTAATTTTGATCTTCGACTCTCAGTCTGGTTAGCGGCTTGCTAAAAACTGAGTCATATTGGGACTTGAGTAGCCTACTCATTTCCTTGCTGTTATCTGTGTAGGACCCATCTTGGTTGAAACAGAATGTAATAAAAAAATTATTCTGCTTTGCACAATAGTTTTGTCAGTATTTTTTTTTTTTTATATTTTTACAGTGCTGTATAATATTCTTTAAATTTACTGGTACAGTGGTACCTTGATACTCAAACTTAATCCGTTCCAGGAAGCTGTTCAAATACAGTGGACCCTTGCCTAACGAACACATCGCATAACGTTAAATCCACCTAACGATACATTTTAGCGCAAAAATTTTGCCTTGGCTAGCGCTAAAAAACTCGCTCAATGCGATTCGTTCGAGATGCGTCCACATGCGGCCTGAGCCCGCCTCACTTGTTCCGTAGGTGCCAGTGTTTACAAGCCAGCCACCGAGGTCGCTTCCAAGCATACAATCGGAACATTTCATATTATCACAGCCTTTTTAGTGATTGCACCTGCAAAATAAGTCACCATGGGCCCCAAGAAAGCTTCTAGTGCCAACCCTACAGCAAAAAGGGTGAGAATTACTATGGATATGAAGAAAGAGATCATTGCTAAGTGTGAAAGTGGAGTGCGTGTCTCCGAGCTGGCCAGGTTGTACACAAAACCCCAATCAGCCATCGCTACTATTGTGGCCAAGAAAACGGCAATCAAGGAAGCTGTTCTTGCCAAAGGTGCAACTTTGTTTTCGAAACAGAGATCGCAAGTCATAGAAGATGTTGAGAGACTGTTATTGGTGTGGATAAACAAAAAACAGATAGCAGGAGATAGCATCTCTCAAGCGATCATATGTGAAAAGGCTAGGAAGTTGCATGACGATTTAATTAAAAAAATGCCAGCAACTAGTGGTGATGTGAGTGAATTTAAGGCCAGCAAAGGTTGGTTTGAGAGATTTAAGAATCGTAGTGGCATACATAGTGTGATAAGGCATGGTGAGTCTGCCAGTTCGGACTACAAATTGGCTGAAAAATATGTGCAGGAATTCAAGGAGTGCATAGACAGTGAAGGACTGAAACCTGAACAAGTGTTTAATTGTGATGAAACAGGCCTGTTTTGGAAGAAAATGCCAAGCAGGACCTACATTACTCAGGAGGAAAAGGCACTCCCAGGACATAAGCCTATGAAAGACAGGCTTACTCTGTTGATGTGTGCTAATGCTAGTGGTGATTGCAAAGTGAAGCCTTTATTGGTGTATCACTCTGAAACTCCCAGAGTGTTCAGGAAAAACAATGTCCTCATGGCTATTTTGTGTGTGCTGTGGAGGGCAAACAGTAAGGCATGGGTCACTAGGGACTTTTTCTATGACTGGTTACACCATGCATTTGCCCCCACTGTGAAAAATTACCTAATTGAAAAGAAATTAGACCTTAAGTGCCTCCTGGTATTAGACAATGCTCCTGGTCATCCTTCAGACATGGCAGAGCGACTTTCTGTGGAAATGAGCTTCATTAATGTCAAGTTTTTGCCTCCTAATACCACTCCTCTCCTGCAGCCCATGGACCAGCAGGTCATTTCCAACTTCAAGAAACTGCACACAAAAGCTATGTTTGAAAGGTGCTTTGTAGTGGCCTCAAACTCAATTGACTCTAAGAGAGTTTTGGAGAGATCACTTTAGCATCCTCAGTTGTGTAAACATTATAGGTAAGGCTTGGGAGGAAGTGACTAAGAGGACCTTGAACTCTGCTTGGAAGAAACTGTGGCCAGAATGTGTAGAAGAAAGGGATTTTGAAGGGTTTGAGGCTAACCCTGGGAATCCTATGCCAGTTGAGGAATCCACTGTGGCATTGGGGAAGTCCTTGGGGTTGGAGGTTAGTGGGGAGGATGTGGAAGAGTTGGTGGAGGAGGATAATGAAGAACTAACCACTGATGAGCTGCTAGATCATCTTCAACAGCAAGAGGCCACACCTGAGGAAACTGCTTCGGAGGAGGGGATAGAGAAATTGAAGAAGTTGCCTACTTCAAAGATTAAGGAAATGTGTGCAATGTGGCTTAAAGTGCAAACCTTTTTTGATGAAAATCACCCTCACACAGCTATTGCAAGCCGTGCTGGTGACTATTACACTGACAATGTTGTGAAACACTTTAGGAATGTCATAAAGGAACGGGAGGTACAGGCCTCTATGGACAGATATGATGTGCGACAGAGGTCCAGTGACTCTCAAGCTGGTCCTAGTGGCATTAAAAGAAGAAGGGAAGTAACTCTGGAAAAGGACTTGCCACCTCAAGTCCTAATGGAAGGGGATTCCCCTTCTAAACATTAACACCATCCACAGTCTCCCCTCCTCCCATCCCATCAATCATCACCATATCTTCAATAAAGGTAAGTGTCATGTAACTGTGCATGTCTTCTTCAGTTTGTGTGTATTAAAATTAATATTTCATGTGGTAAAAATTTTTTTTTGTTCATACTTTGGGGTGTCAGGAACGGATTAATTTGATTTCCATTATTTCTTTGGGAAAAATTAATTCGGCTAACGATAATTTCGCCTAACGTTGAGCTCTCAGGAACGGATTAATAGCGTTAGGCGAGGGTCCACTGTAGTTGTACGAATATTGAATCAATTTTTCCCATAAGAAATAATGTAAATTGGAGTAATCTGTTCCAGACCAAAAATAATTACCAATTATAAAATATTTTAAGTGAAAATATTGCTTATTTAAACCTGTATAATATTTGCATGCATAAAATCATACATGAAAACTACAAAAATAATAAATATATATGAAATAAATGAAAATTTAACTGCACCCTTACCTTTACTGAGGAGTGCTGATGGCCTAAGAGGAAGGTGGAGAGATATTATCGTTTGGAAAGGGTACCACCTTCCACAGAAATATCAGGTAACTGCCCAACTGGTGTTTTTCCTCTTTTCTGTCTCTGTGCAGTAGCACTTTAAAATGATGGGATTCACTAGCATTTGATTGTTTTTCTTTGCTAAAGAAGCTGTCAAATGTTGTCTGCTTTTGATGACTTTCCAAAAATTTTCTAAAGTGGTCAACAACATTGTCATTGAACAGGTTAATGCTCCTGTTCACAAGAGTAATGTTAGGCTGCCATTTTTCCACCAGGCACTGTGTTTGAGCCCAGTGGTAATACACTTCTTTAATTTCTGCAGTGGAAATGTTGCCCTTTTCTGCTTCCCTTCTCTGAAGAAGAAATTTCCTCAACTGCTTCTTGCTGCTCGTTGTGCAGGTCTTGAAGTTCTTCTGTGGTAAGGTCACTCTTGTAATCCTCCACTAACTCTTCTACATCCTCATTGTCCATTTCCAAACCCAGCTCTGTCGCAAAGCCTTTAAACTCTCTAACTGATACGCTGCCTGGCCACAATTTTTTTCCAGGCAGAGTTCATTGTCCTGAAAGAAACTTTCCCCCCAGGCTTTGTCTGTTATCCTTAAATACTGTTTCAGAGGTCACTTCAAAGCGCCTTTTAAACAATTGGAAATTACCTGCTGGTACATGGGTTGGATAGGAGTGGTGGTGTGAGGGGGCAAGTACTTCACCTTAATGAAGCCGTATTTATCCACTAAATTTTCCTCCAAGCCTGGAGGGTGAGCAAGAGCATTGTTTATTACCAGAAGTGACCTTAATGGTAAGGTTTTCTGCAAGGGTACTGCTTCACACATGGGGCAAATACTTCATGTATCCACTAAGTGAAGAACTGCCTTGTTACCTAAGCTTTACTATGAGCCCTTCAGATTACACTGAGTTTACTTTTTGTCACATTGTTTTTCTTAAACACCCTTGGATTTTCAGAGTGGTAGACTAGCAACGGTTTAATTTTGCAGTCCCCATTGGCATTACCACACAAAAAGAGTGTTAGCCTGTCTTTCATGGGCTTGTGTCCTGGTAATAATTTCTCTTGTGTGATATAGATTTTCTTAGGCATTCTTTTCCAAAAGATGCCGGTTTCATCCCATTTAAAAACTTGTTCAATCAATCAATCAGTCAATTTTTATTTCCTTGCAAGATTACATTATATGAAATTACAAAAATGAGTTGCAGTGCAAAGAGAGCCACTGTCATGCCTAGGCATTATGGGCAGACTTAATTTACTAGCTTACAGACTAAATAATACTAAAGAAATTGAACATAGTTTGTTTAAGTTGTACATCTTGTTTATTTATAGTACACAGTAATTTTACTCAAATTACAATAGTTTCAATATTAAATATTGAAATTCTATTATGGGAATATAACATTGTGAGTTGTTGAAAGTAGTTTACAGTATGAGAATGTTACAATTGGGTAGTAATGTTTTGGGTAGGTATTTATACTACAAGGTAGTTTTAATCAGTGTATGAAATTTGGGTATCGTGTTTTGAAGTTTTAAGATTTTAAGATTGAGAAATAAATCCCTCAGTGTCTGCATAGGTTTTAAATTCCTTAACAAACTTTTCAGCCTCATCTCTGTTAGCACTGGCAGACTCCCCATGCCTTACTACACTATGAATCCCACTTCTCTTTTTAAGCCTCTAAAACTATTCCGTACTTGTCTCAGTTTCAGCACTGTTTCCTGGAGTGTCTCACCTAAGATCACTATATAATTGCTTTGTTTTTTCACAAATTATTGTTTCAGAAACACTGTCACTGGCCAACTGTTTTTTGTTAATCCACACTAACAAAAGTTTTTCCATTTCTTCAATTATCTGTAACTTTCCCAGCAAGAATTTTCATTCCTTTTGCCACCTCAGCCCTTTTTATTGCCTCCTTATTTTACAGTATGGATGATATGGTGGATTGGATTGTGCCTTTTTGTTATTTGTGTACATGTGTTCCACTCTCCCACTTCTCGTTGTTGTTCCCACTGCTTTCGTTTTTTTAATTGTTGTTCCCACTGCTTTCGTTTTAGGCTTGTTTGGATCACTACTCTATTTTGGGGCCATAATTACTTATTTTCAATGAAGATATTTAAAAAACACCACAAAAAGTTTCAAGGAACTTGTAGGAACGATGCTTAACGAACAAAAGCTGAAGAGAGACTGAGCACGTGATGCTTTGTTTTCGTCGGACTTTGTCCAGAAGGACCGTTTTGTTTAGGTTCAATATCAGGGCAACATCCAAATACAGAGTCAGATTTTTCTTGAAAAAGTTGGGCGAATATCGAATTTTACGAATATAGGGACATATGAATATTGAGGTTCCACCGTATTCAGAACTTACATACATTTTGGTATGAGACTAATACACAGCTTGTACAGACCAATTCTCAATACTGGTAAACCATAAGATTGAAGATATAATTAACAGTAACCAAGATTTTTTGAAATGTTGTATTTCACTGTATACAAATATTACAAATGTTTTTATTCCCATAATTTATTTACCTTCAATTTAAATACCGAGTATTTTCTTTATGCAGAAATAATCTGTGTTTGAAAGGCCTTTAGTAAATAAACACTCCATAATTAGTCTTGAATGATGAGTTAAAATGTTGACAAAGCAAAGAAAGTGCTAAGTTAGAGAATTTTTGGTTCTGATATTTTTTTTTTTGTTTTTTACCTTATCACTTTGTCTCCCACCAAGGTAGAATGACCTAAAGAAACACATTATCGTTCATTCAGTAGCTGTCTTATCAGTCTTATACGGATGTCACACTTTAAATGATCTTCCAAACTACAACATCCCCACCCATTCTTTAGTGTAGGCCCAACTAACTAAGTTTTTCTAAATCCTTTGGCAAATGTTTCCTTGTTAATACTCCAACACCACGTCAAATCCCAAAAACATCTGTCTCCACTCACTCCAATCTAACATGCTCACACATACCTGCTGGATGCTTAAGCCTCTACCACTCAAAACCTCCTTCATATTCCCTTTCTGGAACACTTCCTGCCCCTACTTCCATTCACCCCATTCACGGTGGGAGACGGCCGACTTGTTGGAAAAAAAAAAAAATATTTACAAACAGTACACAATTGTTACTTTTTTTTATAGCACCTTGTACTATGTATTTGAGTGCTAGCTTTTGCATTGCAAGATGATAACAAAAATTAAAATTGACAGCCTTAGAAAGTAATAAGATAGCAATTTCTCTTGAGCTTTCATATGATACATCACTTTATGCTGGCTAGGATACAGGGGTATAATTCAGAGAATTTACAGCAAATGTAAATTTGAATATAAAAATCTTGCATGTTGTTTTTGTGTAATTTGTAAATTTATATGTTCTCTACGTTTATCCTCAGAAGAGAATAGTTTATAAATATTCCTTTTTTTTCAGTTGTATAATCCAGAGAATATTTACATATCAAAACAAGGTGGTGGTGCTGGAAATAACTGGGCTGCCGGTTACAGTCAGGGAGAACGTATTTATGATGAAGTTTTTGACATCATTGACCGTGAAGCTGACGGCTCTGACAGTCTTGAAGGATTTGTACTGTGTCACAGTATTGCTGGAGGAACAGGGTCGGGTCTAGGCTCATACATTCTTGAGAGGCTGAATGATCGCTTCCCCAAAAAATTGGTGCAGACATATTCTGTCTTTCCAAACCAAGATGAAATCAGGTTAGTAGTATGTGAAGCTTACTGGTACTGTAAACTATTTCATAATTATGCCAGGTAATTATCTCTTCATTGGTTTCTCAAGGAATAATGATTGGTATATCCTTAAGGTAGAAGATGTGAAAATTGGCCACAGTTTTATTTTTATTTTTATTTTTATTTTAGTAATTTTAGCATACATACAGAGGTACAAAAAAATACAGGTAAGAGCAGCATGCCAAAGCCACTTATATGCATAGCATTACGGGCTGGCTTAAAATTAACTTAAGATTAACTAAGCAATGATGAAATCAGTGATAAAATATTATTGTAAACAGATAACTATAAAGCACAAATGAGTATTACAAAGACAGGTCATATGGTTGCATGCATTGCTGTACATTCAGTCGAATGGAATATTCTGTTAGGTAGTGTATTTAAAAAAATAACAAAGTTAGATTGGGTCCTAGGTTTAACATTTGTGTGATATAATTGTGAGTAACATTTAGGATATACAATTTATAAGGTTCAGTTATTCAGTATTTATTTGGTTTTGAGTGAGTAAGTGATCTTTGAGAAGAGACTTGAATTTATAAACAGGTAGTGTTTCTTTTATATTTACAGGTAATGAATTCCAGATTTTAGGGCCTTTTATGTGCGTTGAGTTTTTGCATAGCGTGAGATGGACACGAGGAACATCAAAGAGTGATCTGTGCCTGGTGTTATGGTCATGTGTTCTGTTGAGGTTGGCAAGGAGATGCTTGAGGGGAAGGTTAATATGTATGTAATAGGTGCAATAATAAGTATGGATGTTTTGTATGGTGAGTAGGTTGAGTGTTTTGAATATTGGTGGAGTGTGCTGCCTGTAGTGAGAATTTGTTATCATTCTAACTGCAGCCTTTTGTTGGGTAATTAGTGGTCTGAGATGGTTAATTGTTGTTGAGCCCCATGCACAAATTCCATAGGTGAGATAGGGGTAAATAAGAGAGTGATAAAGGGCCAGGAGGGCTGACTGTGGAACATAGTACCGTATCTTCGATAGTATGCCTACAGTCTTGGAAATTTTCTTAGAAATTTGTTGTATATGTGTATGAAATTTGAGTCTATTATCAAGGTGGATTCCTAAGAATTTTCCCTCTGTTAGCTTTGTGATAGGTGATCTGTTTATCGTTATGTTAAGAGGTACATCTGTAGCTCAGTTACCAAACTGAATGAAGTAGGTTTTGTCAATGTTTAGTGTAAGTTTGTTAGTCCTCATCCAGGTAGATATTTTCTGTAATTCGGTGTTTACAGTATTGGTTAGCGTGACTGGGCTCGGGTGAGAGAAGACGTATGTAGTGTCATCTGCAAAAAGTGTGGGTTTGAGTAATTGCAAAGCATTTGGTAGGTCATTTATGTATAGGAGAAAGAGAAGAGGGCCAAGGACACTTCCCTGTGGGACACCAACTGTAATTGGTTGTGCGGAAGAGCTTGCCCCATTTGCGTACACATATTGGCTTCTGTTGCTGAGGTATAACTTGAGGTAGTTGAGGGAGTGCCCTCTAATACCATAGTGTGACAATTTTACGTGGAGCAAGTCATGGTCAACTGTATCAAAAGCTTTACGTAAGTCAATGAAGATCCCCAGTTGGACTTCTTTTTTCTCTATTGCAGTGTATATATGTTCTAGCATGTGTATAATAGCATCATTAGTATTTTTATTAGGCTTGAATCCAAATTGGCAGGGGTTGAGAATGTTTTGGGAGATGAGGTAGGAGTAGATTCGTTTATAAATTAATTTTTCGAAGATTTTTGAGAGAGGGTGTAAATTGGATATTGGCCTATAGTTATTCAACTATAGGCCCTTGCTATTTTGAGAACTGTAGGGAAGGTGGAGGATTCAATGGATTTGTTAAAGAGTGTTGCAATGATTGGTGATAGTACTTGTGACACTTTTTTGTATATAAAGGGTGGTAAGGTATTTAAATCTCCTGCCTTGTTTTTTAGTGTGTTGATAATAAGGGAGACTTCGTATGGGTTAGTCAGAGCTAGGAACAGTGTGTTCGGGTAGTTGCCAGTGAGGTAGTCATTTGGTGGGGTATCTGAGCTTGGGATTTTATTGGCAAGGTTTTGTCCTATAGTGGAGAAGAAATCATTGAGTCTGTTTGCTGTTTCTGTTGGTGGGAGTTGGGGTTCATCTGATTTTGCTAATTTTATTTCGCTATTTCGTGATATCTTTTTTGTTCCCAGAATTTCTGATAGGGTCTTCCAGGTCTTTTTTATATCACCTCATAAGTTGGATAATCTGTTCTCATAATACAATTTTTTTGCCCTTCTTATCAGGCTGGTTAGGATTGACGAGTAACGTTTTGTTTGGTCTCTGGTTATGTGACCCATTCTGTACTGTTTTTCATATCGGTGTTTTGTATTTATGGATTTGAGAATGCTGGGTGTTAGCCAGGGACTGTTCAGTCTCTTAGCTGTCATCTGTTTAGTTTTTTTAGGGCAGTGCTTGTTATAGAGGTATTGGGTCTTTTTTAGAAAATTATTAAAACATTCGTCAATATCTGTATAGATTTCTAGCTCAGTGTGCCAGTCAATGTTTGTTACTGCTGTTGTGAAGTTATTAATGGCTGCCTCATTGTGAAGTCTGAAGGTGACTTTAGTAGTGTCTTGGGGTATTTTACCAAGAGTTGTTATGAGGAAAGTAGGGTAGTGGTCTGTGGTATTATCTGTAATTATGCCTGATTTTAAAGGGGATATGGTGTTGGTCCAAATGTGGTCAAGTAGGGAAACACTAGTCTCTGTAACTCTTGTAGGTTTTGTTACTGTTGGTAGCAACATGCAGTTACTCATTGTGTTTGTGAATTCAGTAACGTGTGGGTCCTGGTCTTGCAGGAGATTTATATTGAAGTCACCTGAGAGTAGTAAGTGATCTTTGTTCATGCGTGCATCGGTTATCATACTTCCTAGGTTTTGACTAAATTGGCTAATGTTTGATTGTGGAACTCTGTAGATGTTTATCACTGTGAGAGTTTTTTCTAGGTATTTGGATTTGAATTTAGCTATTATATATTCCCCATGTTCATCCCTTGTGCAAGTATTAGTGATACATTCTAGTTGGTCTGAGTAGTATATAGCTGTGCCACCCCTTGTTGGTCTGGCCTACAGTTGTGTATGGCTGTGTAACCAGGAATGGCATAGACATCTGTAGTATCAGGCTTTAGCCAGGTTTCAGTTAGTGTAATGATAGACATATTGGCATGCAAGGAATTTAGTAATGCTAGGAGGTCATCGTAATGCTTGCTTAAAGATCTGATATTGTAGTTAAAGATAGTTATGTTGTTGTTGGCTCTGAGAAGTGCCTTTGATTGTTCTGCTGTGTAGTAATTACAGTAACTGTTTGAATCATTTAAGTCATTAAATAAGAGGTTGGTATCAGGATCAATGCTTGTAATCATAAGATTTGTAGTGAATCTATAGTTAGAAATAAGTAAAAAACAAAGTAAATATTCTAAAGCTAAAAAAATAGCACCTGAATTATTTAACAAATGTAAAAAATAATGAGCTAAGGTAGTTTTTTAAAGCTAAAATAAAGGAGACAATATAAAAGGGACTAAAATAATTTGTGGTGAACAAATAAAGTGATGATCAAATAATGGAGCTTGGGAATATGATAGTAGGTAGTACTTTAAAGGTAATTCTTTAAAGTTAGAATTATAATATAAAATTATAATATAAAAGGGACTAATATAAGTTGTGGTGAACAATAAAGTGGTAATCAAATAAATGAGCTTTGGAATATAATGGCAAAATAGTGAACTTATTAACTTTAGCACCTGAGAATAGCACCTTGATTATTTTAATAATTGTGAATATATGAACTAAGGTAGTTATATAAAGCTAAAATAAAGGAAAAAAAATATATAAGAGACTACAATTAAGTAATGGTAAACAAAGTTAAATGGACAGATAGTCACTATGAAATAATATTGGTTTAGGAGTAAGATCTGATTTGTAATATTAAATAAGTTGAGCAGTTTATTGCACAATAAAAAGTAAAAAAAATGAGGTAGTTGGTACTAGCTAGCAAAAGATAGTTTAGGTACTTGCAAAAAAGTAATTGGAATATACACTAATTGCACACACAATAAAAAGTGACTAAAAAAACAAGTAGTGGTAAACAAAATTAAATGGACAGGTAAGAACAATGAATAATATTAATTTAGAGTAAGATTTGACTTGTAACACAAAATTATGAGCAATTAATAGCAGTAAGAAAGAAGTAAAAAAGTATTGGAGGTAGTTAGCATTAGCTAGTGATGAAAAAAATAATAATGCACAATATAATAGTAACATACACTATATGCACCACACGTATATATGTATTAAGGGCACTTATCTAATCCGTTACAGAAATGTCAGCTTTTCTAAGGAAGGTAGAGAAATCATGTTCGTTTGAGATGGTATATTGTTGTCCTGTTGATGTTTTCCTTACTAGTATTTTCCCATCTCGCGTGAAACACTGATGTATTTTGTTTTCCTGTTTAAGTTTTCTCAGCCTAAACAGAAGGTTTTGACGTTTTCTTGTTAGACACTCATTTATGTACACTCCATTTTTCATTGTAATTGCTGATTTAATTAGGTCCTTTCTTTTATCGTATGAATGAAGTCTGATCATTATACAGTGGACCCCCGCATAGCGAACTTAATCCGTGCAAGAGGGCTGGTCGTTATGCGAAATGTTCGCTATGCGAATTAATTTTCCCCATAAGAAATAATGGAAATAAAATTAATCCGTGCAAGACACCCAAAAGTATGAAAAAAAAAATTTTTTTACCACAAAAAAATGTTAATTTTAGTACACACAAACTGAAAAAGGCATGCACAATTACATGACACTTACTTTTATTGAAGATCTGGTGATGATTGATGGGATGGGAGGAGGGGAGAGAGAGTGTTAGTGTTTAGAAGGGGAATCCCCTTCCATTAACACTTGAGGAGGCAAGTCCTTTTCCGGGGTTACTTCCCTTCTTCTTTTAATGCCACTAGGACCAGCTTCAGAGTCACTGGACTTCTTTCTGTCCATAGAGCTCTGTACCTCCCGTTCCTTTACGATTTGTCTAAAATGGGCCATAACATTGTCATTGAAATAGTCACCAGCACGCCTTGCAACAGCTGTGTCAGGGTGATTTTCATCCATAAAGGTTTGCAGTTCAACCCACTGTGCACACATTTCCTTAATTTTTGAAGTAGGCACAATGGATTCCACAACTGGCATAGGCTTCTCAGGGTTAGCCCCAAACCCTTCAAAATCTTTCTTAATTTCCATACTAATTCTCACCCTTTTTACCACAGGGTTGGCACTAGAAGCTTTCTTGGGGCCCATGGTCACTTATTTTCAACAAACAGAACCGAAAACACTGTAATAATACGAAATATTCCGAGTGTATGCTTGAATGTTACCGCGGAGGCTAGCTGGTAAACAATGGGACAGGCGGCACATGTGAGGCTGGCTGAGGCCGCACATTGGACGCGTCTCGGACGAAGTTCGCTGAGCGGGTTTTTGTCTACTATGCGGGGCAAAATTTTAGCGATCAAAGCGTTCGCTATGCGGAATGTTCGCTATGCAAGGCGTTCGCTATGCGGGGGTCCACTGTACTGTGTTTACTTCCTGGTTTTCCTAGCAAACGTGTTTCTTTGATTTCATTGTTTTGCACGATGACTTGTACGTGGTCCTGTATTATCCTGACAGCAGTTTCTTTGCACTGTGCTTGTGTTATGTTACTTGGAATGTGTGGACTGTTTATTATAACTGCATCAGACAACTTATCTTGTTCAGTTTTGTCGTCTTGGAAATCAAGGTATTCATTTAGTCGAGTGTGCATGTGCTGATTATAAAGGGTTTATAAATTGTCTCAGTTCAAAGGAAAAAAGAGCCTTGATGCCAGCAAAGGGCTCCTAATTCAGAGGATTTGAGCCATCCTCCCCTTCCTCAGGTCAAATGTGGTTACTATATCTCCCTTTTCCCAGTCACTGTATGACCCTTATGGTTTGAACACTTACCTATGAATAAGGTAAGGTGACAAATTTCTGTATTAAAGGGGCATATATGTAATGATGTCATTCTAGTTAGGGCCTTGTGATGTCATTTTTCTTGGAGCCTTGTGATGTCATTCTAGCTAGGGTCCTGTGATATTCTAGCTAGGGTCCTGTGATGTCATTCTAGCTACTATGTGATGTCATTCTAACTAGGGTCCTGTGATGTCATTCTAGCTAGTGTCCTGTGATGTCATTCTACCTATGATTCTGTGATGTCATTCTAGCTAGGGTCCTGTGATGTCATTCTAGCTTAGCTATGATTCTGTGATGTCATTCTAGCTAGGGCATTGTGATGTCATTCTGGCTAGGGTCCTGTGATGTTATTCTGGTTAATGTCCTGTGATGTCATTCTAGTTAATGTCCTGTGATGTCATTCAAGCTAGGGTTCTGTGATATTCTAGCTAGGGTCCTGCGATGTCATTCTAGCCAGAGCCGTGTGATGTCATTCTAGCTAGGGCCCTGTGATGTCATTCTAGCTATGATTCTGTGATGTCATTCTAGCTATGGTTCTGTGATGTCATTCTAGTTATGATTCTGTGATGTCATTCTAGCTAGGGCCCTGTGATGTCATTCTAGCTACGATTCTGTAATGTCATTCCAGCTAGGGTCCTGTGATGTCATTCTGCTTAATGTCCTGTGATGTCATTCTATTTAATGTCCTGTGATGTCATTCAAGCTAGGGTCCTGTGATGTCATTCTGCTTAATATCCTGTGATGTCATTCTATTTAATGTCCTGTGATGTCATTCAAGCTAGGGTCCTGTAATATTCTAGCCAGAGCTGTGTGATGTCATGCTAGCTAGGGCCCTGTGATGTCATTCTAGCTAGGGTCCTGCACTGTCATTCTTACTACCTACTGTTTAACTGGGGGACATATTTGTGTGATCCTTCTCATAGTATTGTTAGTATTTTATTTGAAAAACTGAGTTATTATGTCAGCTCCTGAACAGTAAATTAATCCTTTTAGTTGCAAATAGAATAATAATGTTTTTGAACAGGAAAAACTTGCAGCAGAGTAAACTTTTTGAAATCTCAAGTAAGCTCACCTGCAAACAAAGTTTTGCTTCTATAAATGTCCTTGTTCTACCATGTCCATTGACATTCTCTTGCCTTTCAAACAAGTGTTGTTTTATTGCTTACCTTCTGACCCAGATGCAAATTTGAGATATACATGTATCTTAATTTCAGTGATGTGGTTGTACAGCCATACAACTCATTGCTGACACTGAGGCGCCTCACACAGAGTGCAGACTGTGTTGTTGTGCTCGACAATACTGCATTAAACCGCATTGCCACAGACCGTCTTCACCTTTCCAACCCTTCATTTTCTCAGATCAATTCTCTTGTGTCCAACATAATGTCTGTCTCCACAGCAACATTAAGGTTTGGATCATGTTTTTTTATTATAAATTTGCACATAAATTAGGTTACAAGCTTTTGATAAGAGTGCCAAAGTATGATAAAGTTTTCATATAGATAGGTTATAAGCTGGTCATGGGGATGCAGAAGTATGAGAAATAAACAGACTTTACTGTACAAAACCTGTGTTTTTATGTTGCCAGTCAATGAAGTCAGTGTGGTGCCCATTAACCAGGTATGCTTATATACCTAGGTATTAGCAATTGAGAAATTGATTAATGTAATTCTGTAATCTGTTATCGATTTACGTAATTTTTACATTGTATTCAGACTGTGGGTTTCTTTTCGTGCAGGTATCCATCATACATGAATAATGATCTCATAGGCCTTATTGCCCCACTTATTCCAACTCCTAGACTTCATTTCTTAATGACGGGTTACACACCACTCACCACTGATCAAGAGGTATAGTTTAATTACTTGCTGTGCATTGTTTGTTTCAGTACACTTACCAGCAGCCCACACAGAAAGTTATGATGCTGGCTGCTAGACAAACCTTTGATGAATGAAACATATGGCAGGAAATGGTTGAACTCTGGACTTCTGTGCACCAATTGCAAGTGGGGCCAAGCAGCTTCAAGAGTCAGCTCATCTGCCTTTGGGTCAAACTTTGCTCTGCGTTTAGTGAAGCTCAGATGATGGCATATGTGATAGATAATAATGTCAGAGGAGGACAGAGTTTTCTTCTCTGCTTCATGGCTGTTCCAGAAGTGGAGCAACCATGAAGCAGAGAAGAAAACTCTGTCCTAGTTTAACCCTTTGACTGTTTTGGTCGTATATATACGTCTTGCAGTCCACCGTTTTTGACGTATATATACTCATAAATTCTAGCGGCTTCAAATCAAACAGGAGAAAGCTGGTAGGCCCACTATGTGAGAGAATGGGTCTGTGTGGTCAGTGTGCACCATATAAAAAAATCCTGCAGCACGCAGTGCATAATGAGAAAAAAAAAACTCCGACCGTTTTTTTTAATTAAAATGCCAACTTTGTGGGCTATTTTCATATAGTATTTATGGTTGTATTCTCGTTTTCTTGGTCTCATTTGATAGAATGGAAAACATATTATAGAAATAGAGGTGATTTTTTATTGGTTTTACTATGAAAAGAACCTTGAAATGGAGCTCAAAGTAGGGAAAATGTTTGATTTTTGCCGATGTTCAAAAGTAAACAAATGATGTCATTTTTCAATAAATGTCCAAGTATTCATTCTAATATGCAGTCATGAATGGGTTGACATTATTTATACAATTATTACAATATTGCAGTAGTGTACATAACAGTAAATCTTCTATTTTTTGTTTAAATAAAAATTCAAAATTGAAAGCAAGAGTAATATCAGAGGGGTCTGGAGATGTGACTGATGAACAAAGAAAATGTTATTTTAGAGCCAGGAATGTCTGCATTGTTCATTCTGGACCCTATTTTGAGATTGTCATATTTTTAATTTTCGTGAAATTGGCCAAATTGCAAATTTCTGACCACGTTATTGGGTAGTTGAAATTGGTAAATGGGCAGTTTCTTGTACTCAATCGATAAAAAAATGGAGTTCTAAAGAAATAGCTATGAGTTTGGTCGACTGGAACAATGGAATTAGTCGAAAATAGGGCTAAAATTAGGCGAAATCGCTGATTTGTAAATATTGCCGAGGTTGCTAACTTTGCGAGAGCGTAATTCCATCAGTTTTCCATCAAATTTCATTCTTTTGGTGTCATTACAATCGGGAAAAGATTCTCTATCATTTCATAAAAAATAAATTTTGGGGGGGAGGGAAATTTTGTGACACCAGGAGACACCTCAGGATTTGGGGTTGCGACAGTCAAGGGGTTAATATTATTATCCATCTAATATGCCATCATTTGAGCTTCATTAAACATAGTGCAGAGTTTGACCCAAAGGTGGATGAGCCCACTCTTAAAGTTGCATGGCCCCATGAGCAGTTTGTGTATGAGTTTAATCCAAGTTATCTAGAAAGTCCAGATTTTAACAGTCTGTTACAATATGTTACAGTGATCAAAAGTTTGCCCTGTGCGGACTATAGGGCCAGTGAATCTTTGACCTAACAGACTTATATGGGAGAGGGGATTCTCATTTATATGAAAATATTGTGTATCAAAATGCCCTGTGCAATAGACAGATGTGATAACATCAGTCTTCTAAGTGCAACTAAATGGGTTTTTCTGTAGCTAATTACATTTTCCTACAGAAAGGGTTGAGGATGTTGTAGTTCGGAGGGGCATTTGATCTGTTATGTCTTCCACTTTACCTTGGTGGGAGATGGACAGTGTGTTCGAAAACCGTTTTGTCAGAAATTAAATAATTTTTATTTAGTATGATAATAGAAGTGTACAGCCTCTCCTCACTTAGCGACATACTCATTTACAGATGCCTCGGACTTACGACAGGCTCTCTGACCAGTTATTATTATTATTTTTTTTTTTTATTATCACACTGGCCGATTCCCACCAAGGCAGGGTGGCCCGAAAAAGAAAAACTTTCACCATCATTCACTCCATCACTGTCTTGCCAGAAGGGTGCTTTACACTACAGTTTTTAAACTGCAACATTAACACCCCTCCTTCAGAGTGCAGGCACTGTACTTCCCATCTCCAGGACTCAAGTCTGGCCTGCCGGTTTCCCTGAACCCCTTCATAAATGTTACTTTGCTCACACTCCAACACCACGTCAAGTATTAAAAACCATTTGTCTCCATTCACTCCTATCAAACACGCTCACGCATGCCTGCTGGAAGTCCAATCCCCTCGCACACAAAACCTCCTTTACCCCCTCTCTCCAACCTTTCCTAGGCCGGCCCCTACCCCGCCTTCCTTCCACTACAGACTGATACACTCTTGAAGTCATTCTGTTTCGCTCCATTCTCTCTACATGTCCAAACCACCTCAAGAACCCTTCCTCAGCCCTCTGGACAACAGTTTTGGTAATCCCGCACCTCCTCCTAACTTCCAAACTACGAATTCTCTGCATTATATTCACACCACACATTGCCCTCAGACATGACATCTCCACTGCCTCCAGCCTTCTCCTCGCTGCAACATTCATCACCCATGCTTCACACCCATATAAGAGCGTTGGTAAAACTATACTCTCATACATTCCCCTCTTTGCCTCCAAGGACAAAGTTCTTTGTCTCCACAGACTCCTAAGTGCACCACTCACTCTTTTCCCCTCATCAATTCTATGATTCACCTCATCGTTCATAGACCCATCCGCTGACATGTCCACTCCCAAATATCTGAATACATTCACCTCCTCCATACTCTCTCCCTCCAATCTGATATTCAATCTTTCATCACCTAATCTTTTTGTTATCCTCATAACCTTACTCTTTCATGTATTCACCTTTAATTTTCTTCTTTTGCACACCCTACCAAATTCATCCACCAATCTCTGCAACTTCTCTTCAGAATCTCCCAAGAGCACAGTGTCATCAGCAAAGAGCAGCTGTGACAACTCCCACTTTGTGTGTGATTCTTTATCTTTTAACTCCACGCCTCTTGCCAAGACCCTCGCATTTACTTCTCTTACAACCCCATCTATAAATATATTAAACAACCACGGTGACATCACACATCCTTGTCTAAGGCCTACTTTTACTGGGAAATAATTTCCCTCTTTCCTACATACTCTAACTTGAGCCTCACTATCCTCGTAAAAACTCTTCACTGCTTTCAGTAACCTACCTCTGACCAGTATGCATACCTAAATAATGTATATTAGAGCTGATTTCTTCTAGTCTGTTTATTACAAATATACAGTGCACTACTGTATAAACATTTAAAAATATACCAGAAATGCTATAAATAGTGCAAAGGTGACATTAAAACAGTATCAAATATGGCTGACATAAACCCACTACCATTATAGTATGCTCTTCACTTAGCGATGAATTTGTTTACTGACATGGTCGTAGGAACAGAACTCTGTCGTTAAGTGAGGAGAGGCTGTATTTTATTCAGAATAATGCATATACATTTTTACCCAATTTTTGCATCCCAGTTTTCATTGTCAACAACACTATAATTTGTTTTCATCCATTGCTGGGGCATCAAGTTTCCTTTAATGTACAGTATATTATTACAATTAGTTAATGTGAGACAGGTTGCATCGGTGAGAAAAACGACGGTGCTGGATGTCATGCGGCGTCTTCTGCAGCCTAAAAATATGATGGTGTCAACCCCTCTGGACCGCAATACACAACATTGCTACATCTCCATTCTTAATATTATTCAGGTAACATTTTATAAGCCCAGAATATTTTGGTAAAAATTAATTACCTTGCATTTCAAATGTTTTAGTATTACTGTATTATGAAAGCCAAGCATATAAAATTGCCTAAATTGTATATAAATTATGGAATAGTGTGACTTTTCTTTGTAATGCTCTTCTTAAATTTTGTTGAATATAACAAAAAAAAAAAAAGGCACAATACCGTGACTGGAACGATACACAAATAACCCGCACATAGAAGAGAGGAGCTTACGACGACGTTTCGGTCCGACTTGGACCATTTACAAAGTCACACTGTGACTTTGTAAATGGTCCAAGTCGGACCGAAACGTCGTCGTAAGCTCCTCTCTTCTATGTGCGGGTTATTTGTGTTTTGTTGAATATTTTGGAATACTATCTTAATATTCTTTTCAAGGGTGAAGTGGATCCAACACAGGTGCATAAATCATTGCAACGTATCAGAGAAAGAAAAATGGCACAATTTATTCCCTGGGGACCTGCTTCTATCCAGGTAGCTTTGTCCAAGAAATCTCCATACATCCAGTCTGCACATAGAGTGTCTGGGCTAATGCTTGCAAACCACACAAACATTTCTGCAGTGAGTAATCTAAACATCTGTTGGTAAATTAGTTCTTGTCATGATTAACTGAGACCATTATCCTATTCAGATAACACAAACTTAGGGTAGGAACCTTATGACAATGATTTAATCCATCCTAGACCATTGTCAAGTCACAATTGAGATGAGGAAAAGGCAGAGGCCAGAGGACATTGCCACTGACATACAATAAGAAATCTTACGTGACAGCTACTGAGGTTAACCCTTTGACTGTCGCAACCCCAAATCCTGAGGTGTCTTCTGGTGTCGCAAAATATTTGAAAAAAAAAAAAATTTCTTATGAAATGATAGAGAATCTTTTCCCAATGGTAATGACACCAAAGGTATGAAATTTGATGGAAAACTTATGGAATTACTCTCTTGTGAAGTTAATGAGCTCGGCGACATTTATGCATCGGCGATTTCGCCCACTTTAGAGCCCTATTTTTGGTCAATTCCATTGTTCCAGTACACCAAACTCAGCTATTTCTTTAGAACTCCGTTTGTTCTATCGATTGAGTAAAAGAAACTGCCCATTTACCGATTTCAACTACCCAATAAAGTGGTCAGAAATTGACAATTTGGCCAATTTCATGCAAATTAAAAAATATGTCAGTTTCAAAATAGGGTCCAGAATGAACGATGCAGACATTCCTGGCACTAAAATAACATTTTCTCTGTTCATCAGTCATGTCTTCTGGCCCCTGTTATAATCCTCTTGCTTTCTATTTTGAATTTTTATTCACACAAAAAATAGAAGATTTACTGTTATGCAGACTACTGCATAACAGTAAACTGCATATTAGAATGGCTAGTTAGATATTTATTGGACAATGACATCACTTGTTTACTCTTGAACATCAGAAAAAATCGAACCATTCTGCCACTTTGAGCTCCATTTCAAGATCCTTTTCATAGTAAAACCAATCAAAATCACTTCTATTTCTATAATATGTTTTCCATTCTATCAAGTGAGACCAAGAAAACAAGAATACAACCATAAATACTGTACTAAAATACACCTCAAATTCAGCATTTTAATTCAAAAACAAGGTCGGAGTTTTTTTTCTCATTATGCACTGTGTGCTGCAGGATTTTTTTTTATACTGTGCACACTGACCACACAGATCCATTCTCTCACGTGTGGGCCTACCAACTTTCTCCTGTTTGATTTGAAGCTGCTGGAATTTTTGAGTATACATAAGTCAAACACATTGGCTCGTAAGACGTATATGTACGACCAAAACAGTCAAGGGGTTAATGAACAGAAGAAATGTTCCTTTACTGCCAGGAATGTCTACATTGTTTATTATGGACTCTCTTTTTATGACTTCTTAATTTTCTGTAAAATTGGCCAAATTACCAAATTCTGTGCACTGTATAGGGTAGTTGAAATAGTTGAATTGGAGGTTTCTTGTGCTCAATCAACAAAATGAAAGGGATACTAGTGAAATAGCTAAGAATTTGGTTGATTGGAACAGTGGAATTGGCTTAAAAGAGGACTCAAATTAGGCAAAATTGCCAATGAGTAAATGGCACCAAGACAGCTAACTTGGCACCTATGTAAGTTTTCCATCAAATTTAATGCTTTTGGTGTCATTACCTTCAGAAAAAGATTCTCTACCATTTCAGATGAAAAAAATAACTTTTATTAAAAAAAAAAAAAAAAAAAAAGACGTGGACACAGAGCAGTATTAATTTTGGGAATCTGGTCAATGAAAGGGTTAACATCTGCTCCTCTCCATATACATACAGTATGTGCTTTACTTTTCGTATATTATTTTTACATTTTAAAAGCCTCTAGTGTACTAATGTCTCCTCTGTTACCACCCTGTTTTTAGCATTTTGCTAATAATTTCTTGCCCTACCTTCCTATAATGACAAACCTATGCTGCACACACTAACACTGCATTCTTAAATCTACCCCATACCTATTCTCTCTCTCACACCTTTCTTTCACTAGCTACTTATACTGCCAACTGTCCCTTCTTTAGTTCGTTCATGTTTACCTTTCACTCACTGACACTATTTTCTGTGTACTCTATTTGCCTCTTGCTGTAGCCATCACTAAATAATGATCTGATATAGCAGCTGCTTCTTGTAAAATATGCACATCCAGAAACCTGCAAATCAAACTTTTATCCACCAATACATAATCTAGCAGACTTTTGTCATTGTGCACTTCATCATACCTCGTATACTTATTTATCCTCATTTTTTCTTAGAATGAGTATTGCTTATTACCAAACCTAAATGCTAATTAATGTAAGGTAAATAATATACTAAACATTTTGTAACTTTATTTTCCTCTTCCTCTTATTGAATGTGATGCACATGTATTAAAGATAGGGAAAACGATTAATAATTTTTACCCTTTGTGGGAGTACCTTTTTTGCTGAAGGACTTGAATCTGGGTAATTGCAGTTGTTCCCTTCCTCAAATTAAACATGATCACCCCTTCCACTCATTCCCTTCCCATTTTCCAAGTGCTGTATGACCCTTACTGGTTTAGCTTATTATCTAGTATAAACAAAAACATTGTTTTCTGCTGGGTCCCTGGACACATGTATATTCGAAGTAATGAGCAAGCAGATTCTGCTGCACAGTCAGCTGTTCATGACCATTTCATATAGGGGTATTCCATTCTCAGAGTATTTTGCAGCAGTCTTTAGACAAATTTGCAACCATTAGCAACAACAGTGGTCTGAGTTGATCCATAATAGATTGCATTCTCTCAGACCTTGTTTGGGTTTCTGGTCTTTTTTATTATCACTGTCATGTTTGGGAGACTACATTCTTCTGCCTACATATAGGACACACATGCATCTTACTCACAGGTATCTCATGGAGGAGCACCCAGCACTGTTCTGTCAGAATTGTCAAGTTCCATTGGCAGTTCACCATCTTTTAATAGACTGTTCTGTCAGCGGGCATGCAGAATTTACTTAGTGTTATCACCATTCTAATGCACTGGTCTCCTCACCGACAGCTCCACCTTTGACACAGACTTCCTCTTTGACTTTTTGTCAGCTACTGCTTTATTATCCCAATTTTGATTATATTTTCCCTTTAGTGCTCCCCACTACCCTTACTGACTCTGCCTCTTACATACTCCTAACCATCACTGGTCTCTGATCTTTGCACTTTTCTTGTTTAGCACATCTGACTCTGCAGTGCCATATGACCCTTGTGGGTTTAGTGCTTAGTTTTGATTGTAATAATAATATTGGTTTAGCACTTCTCCATAAATGTAGTATATAATAAAATTTTTAAACTCTGTATGCTGACATTTTTTTGTGCAATTTCAGCTATTCGAGCGAACACTAAAACAATACGACAAGCTCCGGAAGAGAGAAGCTTTCCTGGAGCAGTTCCGCAAAGAAAATATGTTTACTGAGAACTTGGATGAGCTTGATGCTTCTCGTGAAGTTGTACAGCAGCTGGTGGATGAGTATGTGGCAGCTACTACACCAGATTATCTCTCCTGGGGTCTCACTCAAGCATCTACAGAGTCATAGAATTAGTTAAGGATTTTTTGGTATTTTAATAAGTTTAATATAAAAAGCCTTTCTCGAGGCAGAAAAAAAAGTGCTGAAATTGGAAGGCAGGCCATTTGAGGAATTTACCTCAAGCCATATGCAAAATGCAAACATAGTTTTAAAGATTTTTAAAGTTGTTGACATTGTTTAAGTTAGAATAAGATCTATTTGGCATATTAACCTACAAATAAATCTATTGGGCTTATATATTAGCCATTAAGAAATATATTCAAAATATTCAATTTAATATTGAGACATTTAATGCTGAAATGTCTTGCATTGTGAGAAAAATAATCTAGGAAAGGCATGTTCCATTTGTGGGTAGTGAAGCAATTATTTATTATGCAGTACCTGTAATACTATTGTTCAGAAAATAATATTACTGGTTAATGTGAATTCTTTGCATACTTACTCTATTAGGTTAAATATCCTGGGCAATTAATGTTAAAACAAAATCACAGGATAGTTGCAATTTTATATGTATAGTAAAATTTTTTTTTTTTTTTTTCAACAAGTCGGCCGTCTCCCACCGAGGCAGGGTGACCCAAAAAAGAAAGAAAATCCCCAAAAAGAAAATACTTTCATCATCATTCAACACTTTCACCACACTCACACATTATCACTGCTTTTGCAGAGGTGCTCAGAATACAACAGTTCAGAAGCATATACGTAAAATTATATAATTATATAGTAAAATTATATAAAAAAAAAAGTGTAAAATTCATGCTTTTTGTATACCTCTGTGGTGCATATAGATATAAGGACTTTACTTTTAACTAACACAAGTTATTTGCCATGCTGTACAATGTTTAATAATAGTAAAATTTAAATGCACAAAATTAAATTACATCCCTCTTACTCAACCAATATGAGAAAATACAGTAATGTAAATAGTGAAATATTTGTATTAAGATTTTTTTTTTCAGAAATTACATTAGAAATGTATGAGAATTTTTCACCCTTCAAGGAAGCCATGATGCTGAAGGGCTCTTAATTTGGAGAATTGGAGCTACTCCATTTCCTTGGATCAAACCCAGTTTTGCCTCATTCCCCAGGTGCAGTATGGCCATTGAGGGTTTAGCACTTCCCCATATTTATTTCATGTGGGAGTCTAAAGTTGTAGGGGTCATATAGTGCCTTGGGGAGCAATTGTATTGGATCCATAGAACAGGAGGGTGGTTCCAGTTCTTTGAATCGAACCCTTTACCAGCATCAAGGCACCTCAACTTGAAGGGCACTTGACCCTAAAATATAATCAGAAATTCTCAAGAATGCTTCTCAGAACTTATGATTGTTTACAAAAATTCTAGAATATTTTTTAGTTATTTTTTTTAATTTGGGAATTTTTTTATTGGATACATTTTTAAAATTTGTGGCATATATTTTGTTAGGTTAATTTTTGGAAGAAATCAGGGAATACTATCTCTCTTGTCATGACTCCTAATTGGAAAGAATTTGCATATGATGTACAATATTATATACAGTATATTATAGATGTAAAACTTAACCCCAGTCAAATTTAGACTTCCATACTTCCTGTACCAGGATTTCACTTTTTGTACTACCATAAGAGAAAACCTAAAAAGATGAAACCTGCAAATACTTCTAACAGTCAGTTATGTTTTGTAATGCTTGACTTTTCTCAATTTGCATTCATAATTGTGTAGCTCTCTGATTGGGCTGATGCATTTTTTATAACTTCATCATAGTTATATTCAGAAATGTTAAACATTTAAAGATTTTAAAAGTGTTAGCCTCTTGTGTGTTTGATTTAACATCAGTTCCTATGGAATTCAGATTTCTTATTATGTACTTTACATTTATGGGACCTTTGTGGGTTTAGCACTTAGTTTTGACTAATAATAATTTATATTTATGGATAAGGATGCATTTGAGGGGTTCTTGATCCAAAGAATTGGACTTTCCTCCCTCTTCCTGGATTGAAACTTGCCTCCCATTCCCTCAAGTGGTGTATAATGCCTATGGGTTTAGCACCCTGTTATTACATTCATGGGGGCTGGGGAAGTGCTAAACCCATATAGGGATCATAGAGCACCTGGAGAAATGGAAGGCATTCAGGCTTGATTCATGGAATTAGAGCACATGTCCAGTTTCTTAGATCAAGAGCCCTGCAACACCAAGGAATTGCCCTTGAGGAATTTGGACTCCTCCCATTAATGTAATACTCCTACAAGAATCTTTAAATAATTTTATGGAAAATATTCCAGTCACTACCACCACTCCAGAATAACTGCACATACTGTATCTATAAATTACATTAAAATCTGGGGCTTTACAAGCTCACTGTATACAGAGTAAGTGGGAATAAAAACACCATTATATCAAAATGTGTTTACTCATTCATCATGTTCTGTACAAAAGCCACAGCTGAACAAAATGTTCAACTTTGATGGCAGTGTTCCACAAAGGAGTTTGAAAGGCTGTAGAAAAGGAAAGTCAAGGAGGTGCATATGTTAAATTATCCGCCTGCTATTCAGTTTCAATATTTGAGCTGATAACAGCAGGAAGTTAGTACAGTACTACAAAATTTATCAAATTCTTTAAGATGGCCTAAAAGTTCTGAAAATATAGAAATTGCATATATATATATATATATATCTATATAGCCTATATATTATCAATTTATATTATTGATCTTTCATAAACATGGATCACAGTGGTACTTAAGACAAAGAAAAACAAAGAAATAAAAAAATATTCATGTTTATGGCCAGGAGCTCTTCATACTTTTAAATCAAATATATAAAAAGGCAATCCAGAAATATTAAAAATGCGTTCAACGTGTTATTGCTTAAAAACACCAAGAAGAAATAAACATAGCGGAGTATCCGATCTAAGTGCTGACTACCGAGACGCTCACAGTGAGTTTCTGGAAATACCTGGAGTATTTAAAATATGGACAAGTCTTAGTGATCAAAGGAATTTTTGAGTAAATGTATTACAAAATACGGACAGCTGAATGGAAGTGCTAGTAGATGTTTACCTGCATATGCATGTCATTCTTTTTATACTACATGCATGTCTGCATGTAAATAAAATATATATTTACTTAGAATGTACCTTTATATAATAGAAACATGAGCTAAAGAGATGGAAGGAAAGGAAGGGAACTTATCTGGATATATTTATAAAATGACTTACGGCAATTACAAGCTGAAAATGATGACGTGCAATACTTCATTTTATATACAGTACAGTATCTATGTATGTGTGTATTATATATACATGTATATATATAATGCACACATGTACATACATACACATTCAATACATACGTACATATACACCCCCTACACACACACAGCAGTAAAATAATTCAAACATTGGTTTCCCAAGCATTTCGTATGTTTACATATTCAGAAGAGCACAGAATGATAAGACACCAATATATGCAAAAGAGGTAAGGTAAAAGGTGTTTAAGTATATCATAGTTTTTAAACAAGTCTGAAAGTACAATACAATTTAAGTGTCAACATTAATTAAATGAGCCATAAATATATAAATGTAGTGTAGGATTAAAAGATATTGAATCTGATACAAAATGGGAGTTGCCACAATTGTTCTTTGCCATTGACATTTCTTTCAGGAGATTCTGAAGAGAAGTTTTGAAGGTTGGTAGAGGAATCTATGAGGGGTATGTAAAAGTAGGAAATTAAAAGTGAATGCATAAACTAGCTAGGTGGTGATAAAAAAAAAAAATGGATAGCAGTTTGTAGGAAGTAAACATATTCAGATATTTTGGAGTGAGTTAACTATGTAAGTGGTTTCAACGAAAAGTGGTGCAGCAGAGTCAGGCTCATTCTAGCCACCAACTAGACCATATCAGTAAGATAAACCTCTAGTGTTGCATTGTTGTATGTGGTATTTGTCAGATATATCCTTTGGGTTAATCGTACATAGTTTATATTCAACTGTACTGGTGGTGGGCTGCCCAATATATCTCAAGTTCAAAATGGTTTAGGAGTCAGAATTCTCCTTCCACTGATGTGCAGAGCAATCTATTTTAGTACTTTCTAGCACTTGTAAATCTGCATAGCCCAGTACTAAAAGCTACTTAATATGTTGCTAGTGCTTGTGAAACTGGTTCTGAGAGATACAAGAGATGTGGAAAAGATGGAAAAAGCAAAAAACTGTTAAATTTCAACAGTGTGGAGTGCACGACCTTCATGCGCATTGGTGAAATGCAACAGGAAATCATTAACAACAATTTTGGAAGTAGAAATATCAGAGAAACTGGAGAATGGATTGAGTTACTTCTAGGTTTATGACAGAGCAAAATGTAGGAAAGATTACTGTATGGCTTAAACCCCCCACACAAACTTTTTAAGTGTTATGCTGAAAGCGACTGTGTCAAAACATGGTTTTGACACATATACATACATTGGTACCTCAAATTTCAAACAGCTCCAAACTCGAACAATTATGTGAGTGTATTTTTGGGGGTCTGAAATGGACTAATCTAATTTACATTATTCCTTATGGGAACAAATTCCTTTGGTAATGGCACTCGAACAGCCTTCTGGAATGAATCACGGCCGAAATTCGAGGTGCCACTGTATGCGGTCCTGTTAAAAAATAAATGTTGATAATGTTCTGTATGATTTGTTTTGCCAGTTGTGTGTCTTTCGATGAAGTTGATAAAGGCTAAGCATTTTCACAAAGAACTGAGGATCATTAAAAAAGCTGAATACTCCTAAGGATATACTTAATAAATGCCATTGCATTTGCTACACTAAAGTAAGAGGCAAAAGGGTTCTTTGATTTGTGGCAATGCCAAAAAATATTTGGCTGCATTTGTTTGTTAGGGAGATGAGCATAATTTAACTCACAGCCAAATCTATAATGCCAACTACATGAGATTTTCCTTTTGAAGTGTTGCATGGCATACTAATTTGTAACAATAATTAATCTGTGGCTGGGGTGAAAGAATCAAAGAAATCACTGTGCTGACATGTGCAAGTCCAGCTGGCACATAAACATGCAAACTACTGTACTTGGTTAGGTGCTCATGGGTATGAAAATGCTGAATTATTTATGAGGCCAACAAAAATGCATGGGCTACAAGACCTTTTCAACTAATGGATTCAGAAATGTATGTATGAGGCCGGAGAGCATTACACAAAAGCCAGGATCCTTAATTATTATTATAATCAAAACTAAGCACTAAACCCACAAGGGTCATACAGTGCTGCCAGGGTCCTTAAAGTGTTAAAGATTTTGCTGCTTCACAACAATTCTGCTCACTCAACTATTGAAAATTTGGTTTTATGCAATACTTTTGCAACATATATGCCACCTATGTACAAGTCACTGGTCCAGATCATGGAACAAGATGTAAATAGCAGTTTGCTAATTATGGCAACATTATGGCAGATGCCTTTTTGAATTTAAAAAGAAGTTGTGGATTTGAAAAATTCACAAAGAATTCATTATTTAACATGCCTACATCACATGTTAAATTTAGAAATGTTAACATTGTATGTCACCCTTCACCTCAGATTTTTGGCATATAGTATATTTACTATCTTTCAACCATTCTCTACTTCCTTGAGAATGTAGATATGCATCATTGCTTAAAAACCTTAATTTTTGTAATTTTTAACCTTTTTTGTATTACTGAATTACATGTTTAATGACTATATTGCATACATATATACTGTGTTTATACATATATATATATTTTCTTCCAAAATCTTATATATCTACACATTGTTTAAAATATATGACATATATATGTAACTTGACACACTGTCTCTTTCATAGTTATCAAGCAGGTACATCCAGATAAAATTAAATAGCATAGAAAAAATATTGTAAATATTATCTTACAGCACAAACTTAATTGTTTTATCACAGAATGCTGAACCGAAACATGGAAGCCTATACAGCAGCACACATTAACTTGGTTACATGTCATGTCAACAGAGCAATAAATTTTTAACAAGGGGACTGCTGTTAATACAGGCAACATCATTTTACAAACCTGGTGACAAGCTCCCCTATTTTCTTTTTTTTTACAAAGATGTACTCTGATGTCAGTATTGTGGCAGAGAACTTATCTACTCAGGAAACTTGGTAATACTGTACATACTAAATATGCAAGCCTACACTTATGTCAGTATTATTCAAGTTATAATTAGCTGAAAATCTACAACACTGCAATCATATCACCTGATTTCCATCTTAGAGAGAAAAAAATACATATAAAGTTGGTTTCTCCATATGCTTTGCTGTAGCTGCTTTAAAGTGTTTTTACCTCTAGCAAAATATCATTATGAGTATTTTTATACTATGAAAGCAGTACATACCTCAAATTTTATAATATATTTATTAACACCTTTCCAGCAATGATCACTAAAGGTCTACACTGTAAATCAGAAAAGGTGATTCAAGATGGTTGTGTGCAGTGAAATTTATGTGCTATTGGAAATATTTTCAGGATATTAAAATAGAATGCTCAGGAAATATTAAAATATCCCCTGTGGTTTTTGAGATAGCTAGTATATATATGAACACACAAAAATGATGATAAATGCATGTACAAATGTGTGTGCGCACACACACATGTGCATCACATGTACTCACATTTCTACAAATATGCAATTGCCATTTCTTACACTCCACTCATACTAATACCCATACATATTATTATCTCATTCCCTGTCTCTCTCACTCTTTGTTCTTTGTCTATATACTTGCTTTGAATTTCAGATCATTCAAGATTTTGAAATAAAAGTTTTAACTAGTAATACACAACCATCTTTTCAATTCTTTTTAACATAATTTTTTTACTGGAATTTAAAATATTAAAAATCATACCTACAAATTAAAGGATCAAAAGAACGTGTCAGGTAAATTTTCATACATTAAATACGACAAGCTTCATAACACTGAAATATAGTATACTAGGTATCATTTTAATTACAGTACTGTAATAAAATCATTAGCAGGATATTCAACTAAATATACAGGCTCCTTTGTTTCTAAGAGATATAAACATGAACATGAAATCTAAAACCAGAAGACTCTAATCTATCACAAAAGAGCCCCAGATCCAAGACAGAATGTACAGGTACAAAAACTGCAGAATCTTACATGATGTTAATACATACAACCCATGCTACTGAGCAGCTTCATCAGTTTCAAATGCCTGGCATTCAACTATTTTCTATAACCTATCCACATTTACTGGTTCAAACTCCCTTTTACATGTCACCTTTACATGGCTGCGAGGTTTAATACATGAACCTTTAGCATTTGTAAATATGACTACTCTACATGCGAGTTCATGTTCCCTTGCACAAAACAAAACAAACAAAGAGGTTTTAAAGACACTGAGGATTATGGAGTCTTATGAAGAGGACATTTTGCTACTATGAAGTATGTTATATGAAGAACTACCTTAATCCTCATGTCTTCAAAATTATCTGACAAAGAACTAGGCAAATAAATAGAGCAGAACTGTTTTCAAATATATGGTATATTTAACAACTGGCTGCTCTTATGCTACATATACTATCATACATCTATCTAGCTATGATACACTATTTCATTGCTGTAAATTTTAATAGTTAAGTTATACATACACTGCACTATCTGTACATATTTACTCACTTTATACAAAATTGTAATGATTTTTTTAGTGTTCTTGGAAAGCTTCTTTGTGATAAATAAGCAACATTATGTATATAACAGCACCTTGTTTTGTATCAACTTGTGAAGCAAGAAGATAAATCTTACTATTAGATTAAGGTTTAAAATTATTATTTCTTTTTATGAACTGGCCCATAATTAATATACTGCTTGGGGTAAAGAGAGTGAAAATGAGTGAAAATGAGAGTGAGAGTGAGCGAGTGTGTGTGTGTGTGTGTGTGTGTGTGTGTGTGTGTGTGTGAGAGAGAGAGAGAGAGAGAGAGAGGAGAGAGAGAGAGAGAGAGAGAGAGAGAGAGAGAGATGAGAGAGAGAGAGAGAGAGAGAGAGAGAGAGAGAGAGAGAGAGAGAGAGAGAGAGAGAGAGAGAGAGAGAGGAGAGAGAGAGAGAGAGAGAGAGAGAGAGAAGAGACAGAGAGACAGACAGAGACAGACAGAGAGACAGAGAAAGATAGAAACAGAGAAAGACAGAAACAGAGAAAGACAGAAACAGAGAGAGACAGAAACAAAGAGAGACAGAAACAGAGAGAGACAGAGAAAGACAGAGACAGAGAAAGACAGAGACAGAGAAAGACAGAGAGTGAGAGAGCGAGCGAGTGAGAACGTTAAGTTACCATTTTTTTTGTTTTGTGTGTGCGTGCGTGTGCACACGCATGCACATACACACACATACACCTATTTGTGGTTGCAGGACTTAATTATGTGAGTGTGTGTTAGTTACCAGTTGTCAAAGGCACTTGTCATTAGACACTTTGCCTGTTTTGTATGTGGGCGTGAGCATGCACGTATGTATGTATGTATGTATGTATGTATGTATGTTATTTATTTATTTTAATTATTATCACACCGGCCGATTCCCACCAAGGCAGGGTGGCCCGAAAAAGAAAAACTTTCACCATCATTCACTCCATCACTGTCTTGCCAGAAGGGTGCTTTACACTACAGTTTTTAAACTGCAACATTAACACCCCTCCTTCAGAGTGCAGGCACTGTACTTCCCATCTCCAGGACTCAAGTCCGGCCTGCCGGTTTCCCTGAATCCCTTCATAAATGTTACTTT